GCGTTTGGCGCCCAGCTCTTTACGATGCGCCATTGTGCGCTCTCCCTGCGTACCCACGGCTGGACTCGACTCCTTCTCCGGCGCTCCCCTTACGGCCTTCGCATTGGGGCGTTTTGCTGCCTGCCGCCGCAAGTTCGGGGTGGCGCTGCTAGACCACTGTTGCTCCGCCGCCTCCAAGCGCGTTCACGGGCGCAGTGTGCGCGCCACAGCGCTATGGCCATCATAACAGCGCTGAGTACGAGGAACAGAACCAACTGCCGCGCCTGAATTCTTGAAGATGAACGTTTTATCCACACAATACAGCTTGGTCGTTGCATGTGATGAGGTTAAAATGGTATAGTCGACCTCTGAGAGAACCGCTTACCCAGTCAGAACCATTCCGGCAGCTTTCCCGGATTTTCGCACATGCGTGTTGTCACAAGCAACACTAATCCATTACAGCGCACAAAATTCAGAGAGAAAAAGCAATATTTATTTTGTCGTAAGGTGGACTAGAACTTCCCGTAGATAGACGGCGATGACTCCGCTTTCCGTTTCGTCGGCTGTCAAGGAGCCGAGGTGGCCGAGAGGCCACGCGCTGCAGGTTCTTTACGCGGCCTCTTCGTAGACGGGACCATATACGAAGGATACTGATGGAAGACCGCGTGGGCACGGCTCCTGGACGCAGTTTCCGGATACGATATCCGGGAACATAGTCATTTTCCGTGAAGTGTTTGCTGCACACTACAGTCAATGCGGACTTGTCATTGATGACGAGGTTTTCACGTGAAACATTTTTCCTCCACTTCGAACACAGTTCCTCATCGCTAGAAAATTGGTGGTACGACACACCCGGTGTCTTCCCTTGCTGTGACTTACACAGCGGCACGCAACAATAAACCATGGCTACGCTAGTGCAGTTAGCGTGCCTGAGCGTGTCTGATGCATTGTTTACCCGAGGTCATCGAACGCAGTCAAGAAAAGTCGCAGTCGGCGACGCGAGGATCCAGCGGAGCTTACAGTGAGGTGGTGCTGCCCTCTACGCGTCAGAAAAAAATATACGCGAGGCGCCGGTATTGAGAAGGCCGTAAGGAGCGTGCGGAAGGAGCGTCGAGTCCGGCCGTGGCGTACCTTGCCCGTGAATGGGGGGGTAGGGGTTTAGATGCTTTTGCGCGCGGATTTATCGGTGGGGAGAATGGCGGGCCTTCAACTTTGACCGGAAGGATTGTGTTTAGTTGCTGGGTGCACAAAGATCACTTCGCTCGCTGGACAGGCGCCGTTTGCGAAAAGAGTGCACTTTTGAAACAGAGCGAAGTAACAAATGTGGCACTTGTTAGTTCGCACTGATATTTGTACCTTTGATTACGCTTCTGCCTCGTTTTTCTTCAAACAGCGCATTAAGTGTCGGGTGGTAAACGTTGTTAGTTTGCTCTCATCCTGTGTATATTGTGTTCATGCGTCATTTGTGCGTGAGCAGCGCACTGCCCGTTTCAATCTGCTTGCTGTTCTCAGCGTTACATTCCAAGTTATTGCTATCACATTCATTGCTTTGCACTGGCGGCGAAACTGTGACTTTTCTTAATTTCGGACAACCGTTTCGTCACCACCGAGGGGTCGTCAGATTAGGCGCCGATGAAAACTCTCCGAGACCAACCACTGTGACGACGGATTTTCGGAGGCCGACTCGTCACGTGCTTCCATTATGCGCCGTGCCACGAGTTCACAGGCTGGTAGCTTTCGCAATTAGCCCATTATTTCTGGCAACACGGCAGTACGTTGAATGCAATACGATGAACACGATAGCAAAAAAATGTAATATTATGAGTAAGGCTGGCAGCCAACTCTTTTGGATCCGATATCGCAGAGCTCCTACAAAACGCTGGTGTGAGCAAATATGGCCGCTCCAAGGAGAAGTGCCCTTTTTCCATAGTCCCCTCGCGTTGAAACCACACTGATACTCACTGAGATAGCAAGCGCGTTAGCGATCGCGATCGTCTTTATAATGCAAGTTCATTATTGCTACTTGAGCAATCTCTCGTCCCCTTCCAGCGTTGTTTCATGCTCGTTCAAGAGAGATGGTTTACTTTCTGTTTGAGCATTCGACGGCAGTTCTAACAAGCAGGAGATGTTATCTTATGCACTTTCCAGGCGACGATAGGGATGGGAGGACTCATTTGATCCCTGGTTCAGCAGCGCTGCTCGTGCGCTTTTACCCGCTCATGAAAGTTAAGATGTGTGGAGGCATGTTATCAATTTGGACTTGTTTAAAAACATGGTGGTGACGGTAAAAATATGCCGAAGGTGTCCATATTTGCTATTGCAATAATAAAGTAGTTTTTTACTGTAAAATAAGTGTTTTAGGTTAGCTCTGCCTTCAGTTCCTGTATATAACGAAATCCTCTCTACAATAAATTTTTCTGAGAATTTATCAATTTCATTATGTACAGGTTTAACTGTATTATTCCTTTCTGTCAGAAATGAGCACAGGGGTGAATGATTTTTTTTCTTTTGTCAAGACAGGCAAAGCCGCAGGCCGGTGACATAGAAAGGATTGTGATGGCAGCCCTCAAGTACAGAATTTTCCATGTGGTAAAGTGCGCGACGTTGCCAATGGCAAAGTCGCTGAGCTAGTGTTGTTGGCCTCTGCGGATAAACGTCACTGTCTCACAAAGCCAGTGCAGCACGCGTAATTTTTTTTCAGCAGGCAAGCCTTTACTTCTTGATTCTTAAAGCACATACCGCCTTGAAATAGACACTTTGAGCCGCTCCGCACGCGTTGAGTTCTCAAAGCGCTGGCGCTTCCGAAACCTGCCCCCGTAGTGGCAGCGAAATTGACTACAAGAATATTGCACTTTCAGCCACCCTTGCAGCATGTCAGAGAATTAGCTTGAACCATGGCACCTCTGGCATAGGTCATTTTTTTGTCACAAAGTGTGTTGAATTTCATTGTACAGTAGCGTATATGCTCGCATAATGATCGCACCTTTTTTTTTTCAAAAAATTTGACTCCAACTTCGGGATGCGATCATTACGCGGTGTAAATTTTCCGTGCAAAAATATTCTGAGCACCAGAAACGCAAAAAAGTCGCTTATCAGAATTTTTACGGTAGCTATCATGACCATAACCAAAAATAAAAGTAAATTAAGGATTACCTTTGTAATAAAATACACGTATCACGCAGGAGCTACATGCATGGCACACTGCCCTTTTATTTTTTACCTCTCTGACCAGCTAACGTTCATTCAAACTCCGAAGCATCACTGGTGTCAGTGTCGTCGCCGCACGATTACCTGTCGGAACCGGCAGTGTCTTCACTGTCCCACAGAGGGTCACCTTTCGTTCCGTCGAGCGTGTTGGAAATGCCAGCGACAGTCCATTCCGCCGCATGAAGCGTGTCGTCCAGCCAGAACTGGCGCGGAACTCCTTTGTGGCTATTCCCAGCCTCCGGGAAACTGTGCACGCCTGCGTCCGTATCATGCCTAATGACACTGCATAACCGTCCTTGCACATGTCCTTCACGTATCCGAGGACTGCCTTTTCAATGTCAGGGAACTTGCCAGATTTGGGTCCACGGAAAGCCTATAGCGTGCTGTTAGTAGCCATGAGCATATCACGCTGTTTTTTCCAATACTGGATTCGAATTTCGCGACGCCGAAATGTCTGCCGGCAGCGCGGTTGCCGTGCTCTAGCGCGTAGTCAAGCGCCTTCAGCTTGAACGCGGCAGTAAAGCTCGCATACCGCCCCATGGTGAAATGGCGCTTCAACAGACGACCACAAAGCACACCAAAAAAAAAAACGAGGTCTCAGGAAAAAAAAACATTGCTGCGGGATGAACACAGGTCGACCAACAGGCGGCCGCTGCTGTAACAGTGCGAGATGTCAAAACAAACATGGCGGCTGACGGAGGGAAGCACTCCGTGGAGTGACCGCATTTTTTTCTTCTTTGCGTCAGTTATGGAGGTTGTGAGCACGTCACACGCGTCAAAACAGTTTTTTCCACATAAATAAGGAATGCTTTCATTTAAATCAGTAAATTTACGGCATTAGCATAGTGATGCCCGCTTTCAGATCACATAAACAATGATAGGTGCGTTCAGCTAGACTTGGCACATGTCGATGCGGCAAGTTCAGGGTGCGATCATTACGCAGGGGAAAAAAAAAAGTCGAATTTAGATGACAAAATTTAGGGGTGCGATCATTATGCGAGTGCGATCATTACGCGAGTAAATACGGTACTTGTTACTCTTGCTTTGACATGGGGTATTTCTTTTTTGCACTTGACACGTACACATACGCCTTTAACACCCACTACGTACTTTGTAACCCCCCACACAAAAGCTTCTGTAATGTTTTAGTCACACTGAAGGTGTTCTTATAAATAAATAACTATACTGCAGCTTTCAATGTGCTCCTACTTCATTTACAACATTGTGCTGCCCTTCATAAATGTACTTGCACAGTATGAGCATCCCCGAAAATGAAAAAAAAAAGTATTCCAGTATCTGTATTGCTGCATCTGTATTCCAGCCAAAATACTTTCGTCATTTCGCAAAAGCATATCTGAAATGTCCCATTCAGATATAAATGCCTCTCAGCAACTGTATGTCTCACACTCATATATTTTGATACCTGTATTCCGGAATACTTCTCTGGGTATCTATGCTGAGTCCTGCTCGGAACCTTATGGTAAGATTATGCACACAACGTTAAAATTAGAGTTTGTTGTGAAAATTCTGTGGCCGCCAACAATAACCCTGTTCTTCGAAGGCACAAGTACAAATGCCAACGCGCTTCACCACTTCACAGATCTTCGATGGCCAATGCTCTGTTCCTTGCTGTCTCAATGCACATTGGACTGCTTGAACCTCGCCTTTTGCTCTTCCTTGCGCAGGTTCACCCAAATAAAAAGTTCAGCCTCGGACATGATTGCTACTGACTTCATCATCACGACATATATTTTCTTTCTGAAAGCACCCAGCAGTTGGTTGTGGAACAGCATGCAATGATGATGATGTTTTACCTAAAGTGCCCACAGCAACATGGCATCGTGCCAGCTTCTGCAGGTCCTCTTTGATTGGCACGCCTCCAATGAAGGCATACGTCTTGAGCCCTGGCATGTCACAGCCAAGACAGCAAACTGTGTCGCAAGACTGAACAGCTATTTCACGTGTTGGCGCCAGGATCAAGACCTGCACAGAAGACATTACCATATATTACCTCGTACTTGAGAAGTTTAAATTCTAATAATACGATACAATTGACAAAACACTTACAGCAAGAAGTAAACAATGAGTCAGTTATGTTAGATGACACAAAAGGAATAGAACATAGGAGTTGAAATCTGGGCCAGTTGGTTCATGACACTTGAAGAAAGCCAGCAAAAGCACAAGACAAAAACACAAGAGTTTGCGTCTGCGTCTTTCTTGTGTCCCGTGCTTTTGCTGGCTTTCTAAGCATCAAAAACAAGACAAGACATTATGACACGGACACAGTGCTAACTTCCAACAAATTTTATGAACCATGCAGTTCAAGTACCTAAATACCAAATAACAATGCACATAAGCGCAATTAATTTCTTAATTTTACCCTAGAGGGCAATCTGTCGCTAGTGTTTATGGTGTTTAAGTGTCTGAAGTATGCACAAGGAACTGGATTTCACTATTGCGTTCAGCTCCTAAAGGCGAAGCTTTAGGGTTCCTTAATTTTTTTAATGAATTTGCTACAGCTTCGGTTACATTGCTACCAAAGTTCAAGTTGTTGATTATCAATGAAGCCGAGCGTAATATGGGCACTGCCACCGTCAAAAGTGAGCTATCAAGATCTGCTCAGCTTGCATGCATCAAAACACAGTGCGAGCGCACCAGCACAACACAGGATGACTTCTTCGCAAATGTCTTCTGAACATAATCAACAGCTGAAGTGAGCAGCTGCCTCAGTACCTTTGGTGCCCCATGACATCCCCATGAGTGAGCTCAAAGAAAACTTTATGCACGTTCACCAGCTCTTCCTGAAAGTGAATACAGGAGTACCATATAAAGCGCGTTCATTAATCTCCCATTTAGCATAGATGAGGACGTATATGCTAATAAGCAAGCCAAGATGCCTGATTGAAGCTTTGAAACGCAGGTGTTGCTTACATACAGTGGTTTGTAGTTACATAAGCAGACTGTTCCTTCATTATTGTAACACTCCTCACGAACTTTGTATTGAAAACTAGTTTTGCTTCCCTCCATTTTCAACAGCCCCAACATTTCTGGTAATTTAACCCCTGAGCAACCCCTATCGAATGTATGCATTAAGGAACAAGAAAGGCAATGTCATAACCAATATGGGTAGGATAGTCAAGGTGATGGAGGAGTTCTATAGACAGATGTACAGAAGCCAAAACAACCAGGATGAATGACCAAAGGAATTCGACATCCTAACAGTAACGACAGGGGAAATAAGGGAAGCTCTAGCAAGAATGTAAAGAGGCAAAGCCGGTAGTGAAGATAAAGTAACAACGGACCTTCTAAAGATGGCAGAGAAATTGAGTTAGAAAAACTGGCCACTTTGTATACGAAGTGTCTTTTGATGGGAAGGGTACCAGAATCTTGGAAGAATGCCAACATCATCTTAATACTTAAGAAAGGAGACGTCAAGACTTGAAAAACTACAGGCTAATCAGCTTACTGTTCGTTGTATACAAGCTATTTATGAAAATAATAGCTTATAGAATCAAATCGACATTGTAGTTCAATCAACCAAAGACCGAGCAATATTTCGTATAGCCTACTCCACAATAGACCATATTCTCAACCAAAGACCAAGCAGTATTTCGTACAGCCTACTCTACAATAGACCATATTCACACTATCAATCAGGTAAAAGAGAAATGTGCAGAATACAACCAACCCCTCCCTATACATAGCCTTCATAAATTACCAGAAGGCGCTTGACTCAGTCGAGACATCACCAGTAATGCAGGCACTGCAAAATTAGGGCATCGAAGTGCCTCACATAAACATCCTAGAGGAAATCTACAGTGGTTCCACATCACCATAGTTCTCCATAAAGAAAGCGACAGAATCCCAAGAAAGAAGGGTGTAAGGCAGAGACACCTCATCTTTCCAATGCTATTCACCTCATTTTTACAGGAGGTTTCCAGGACCCTAGATTAGAAAGAGTTAGGGATAAGAGTTAATGGAGAGTATCTTAGTAATCTGTGGTTCACGGATGACTTTGCCTTGATGAGTAATTCAGGAGATGAATTACAGTTCATGATTACTGAACTAAACACGGAAAGCAAAAAAGTAGGTCTGAAAATTAATATGCACAAAACTCAAGTAATGTGCAGCAGTCTCAGTAGAGAACAGCACTTTGTGATATGTGGATAGACGGAAGTTTTAAAGGAATAGTATGTCTACTTGGGACATAGTAGTAACCATGGATCCAAACCATGAGAGTGAAATATCTAGAAGAATAAGGATGGGGCGGATCACATTCGTCAAGCATTCTCAAATCATGAATTGTAATCTGCCATAACCCTCAAGAGACAGTAGGATTGGGTGTGTTGGTATAACATAATAAATAGTGCTTAACAGCGCAAACAACAGAACGGGATAGAAGAGACGGGACAAAGCACTGAGACTGGACTATCAGCGCTCTGTCTCATCTCTTCTATCCTCTCCTGTCATTTGCGCTTTTAAGCACTGTTAATCACTAACCCTCAAGAGGAAGATATATAACAGCTGCATCTTGCCAGTACCTACCTACAGAGCAGAAACCTGGAGGCTTATAAAGAGAATTCAGCTTAAATTGAGGACAACCCAGCGAGCGATGGAACGGAAAATGATAGGTGTAACCTTAAGAGACAAGAACAGAGCAGAGTGGATCAGAGAACAAAGCCGGGGTTAAGGATATCATAAATCAAGAACAAGGAATGGACATGGGCTGGGCACGTAGCACGTGGGCAGGATAACCGCTGGTGATTAAGGGTAACTGACTGGATTCCCAGAGAAGGCAAACACACGAAAGAGAAACGGAAAGTTAGGTGGGCCGATGAGATTAAAAAGTTTGCAGGTATAACGTGGCAATGGGAAAACACAGGACCAGGTTGATTGGTGGATTGTGGGAGAGGCCTTTGCACTGCAATGGACTTAATCAGGCTGATGATGATGATAATGATGAACCCTTGAGCAAGCAAAGATGACCTTGGAGCTATTGACATACACAATTGCAATATTTGCAGCAATTTTGCAGGAAAAATTTAAAAAACAAAAAAGCAACTTGCATGTTTCTTTCTTTTTTTTTAATTTGTTCTGTTATGTGCACAAATACTTTATGACTAATTTATCCAATTTGAGCATTTCTTTCTTGTAAAAAAGCTATGTACACAAATATTGGTAGTAGAAGCACCCCGTCGTAAATACTGCAGGTTTTTTTGTGGTGTTTCCATTTTGCAAAGCGTGGCTGTGGAAATCTGTCACCTTGTGCTCAATGACATCTTCCGAAAAATAGCTTCCCCGCACTCCACAGAGTACTAGGCAACTTTGGATCATTATAGTACTACAAAGATACAGTAAATTTTAGCAAATGATTAAATGCGAAGCAGTTCTGCAAGCACTTCTTTGAGTACTGCAAGCACCGGCAAATGCATGAATATCAGGCTGCGGGCGCATGAAAATTCCTTAAAGGGTGGGATATGTCTCACCTCGCCAGTCAGTGGCATGAGTGCAGTTGCACTCCTTCTTTTGAGCAGACATCAATCATCGGTCGCCATCATAATCAACAGACACGTGAGAATACAGAGGTTTACCACATGACGAAGTGTGTTGGCAATTACGTTAGCCAGCCATCTGTTGCTCTATCAGAGCAAAAAATTTTTTTCATTGATCAGTTGTAATCTTGCGTGGTGCATGATACATACTATATATATATATATATATATATATAAGGGAAAGAAGTGTATACTTAAGGGCTCGTTTTTCCGTGTTTTGACACAATATTAATGAGATCTAACAGACAGTAATGCCAAAGAATGTACAGGGGAAGTTATTAGAACCAATAGAATGTAAATAAGAAAGAAAAGAGGGTGAAAAATTAACCAGCCGTGAGCAGGAATCGAATCTACGACCTTCGAATAACGCGTTCGATGCTCTAACCACTGAGCTACCACAGCGGCCTTCCCTCCATCCACTTTTTTTTTCGGGGTTTATATGTGAATTTAGAAGTAGGAGTGTCAGTCAGCGCCATCTATAAGCCAAGCGACGAGTGCGGAACACTCTATTATGCGCATATGTGGCGTCACGTAGCAGGTGAACTTTATTACGAGCGGGCAGCTGATTAATAGTCCCTCGTACACAACCTAAATACACCTCGTATACAACCTAATGACACCAAGTCTGCCAGTACGAGACCCTTGTTAATGAATAAGGGAAAGAAGTGTATACCTAAGACATATATATATATATATATATATATATATATATATATATATATATATATATATATATATATATATGCTTTCCTTTAAATAAGTTTTCAGTTAGACCAGCCCTTTCCTGTTTCTTTCTCTTGTGTGTTTCCTTTTGTGCGCTGCCCTTTTATGAATAAGTTCCAACTCGCCCACCTTTCACTTGTACTAAAGTTTATTACTCGCAGATCTCAATACTATATGTACTCGACATCATACGTCACATGTACATAGCTCTCACAGCCATAAATTGTAACCTAGGCACATGCATCAACACTATGTCACACGTATTTTCTTTTCTTAGTGGGTAACCACGAAAAACCGTTTATCGCCAATACATGTATTCGAGTTCCTTATTTGTCAACATCACTGATGGGCTGCTCACACAAGCGTCACCCTGTCCTTTCTCTACACTACCATACATTATCATGCTACCTTACCAACAAGCCCAAATCGCCACCCCCATCAACAATATTATAGGCAATTTTAATGTGAATGTGAAGAAAGAAAAGTGGGCAAAAATAACTCACCCCATGGCTACTTTCGGTGCTGACTGACACCTTCATGTTTTATTAACATACATTCCCCATAAAGTGGACAGGGGAATAACTGCGTGTAGCTCAGTTGGTGAAATATCAGACACATCATTGGAAGGTCACAGGTTCAGTCCCTGCCCACGACAAGTCATCTTTTCGTCCACTTTTCTTTCTTCACGTGACAATTGCTTATAATAAC